CTGCTGCTGCTGCTGCTGCTGCTGCTGCTGCTGCTGCTGCTTTGTCGTCAGCAGCAGCAGACAGAAGGGCCCCGTCTAGGGGGGTTCTCAGCATCCTGCAGTCTTCTGGTGAGCGCCGCAGCAGGGCCCCCATCTGCTGCAGCAGCGCAGCACAGAATGCATGCATAGGGGCCTCAAGGGCCCCCTCAACAGCAGCAGCAGCAGCAGCAACAGGGATGGGGGCCCCCGAGGGGCCCACCTCCCAGGCTGTATCATCAGCTAGTATACCCCACAGCTCAGGAGACAGAAATACACTGTCTCCTTCATCCTCTTCTGCTGCTTTATCTGCTGCTGCTGCTGCTGCTGCTGCTGCTGCACCTGCTCCTGCTGCTGCTGCTGCTGCTGCTGCTGGTTGCGGGGGAAAGACACAGAATACACGCTTGGCGAGGACTGTGGGGTAGTCAGCAGCAACAGCCTGAGCGAATGCAGCAGCTTCTGCGTTTGCTTCTTGCTGGGGTGTACAGGCAGCTCCAGGTGTACAGGCAGCTCCAGGTGTACAGGCAGCTTGGGGTGTATAGGCAGCTCCAGGTGTACATGCAGGTATATGCACAGCTATGGCCCCCAGCACTTGTTTATGAAGATAGAGATCCCCCCATTCGCTGTTTGTATACTGCGGCGTTACAAAGGAGAGACAGAGGAAGCGGTTGCTTTCTCTGCTGCTGCTGCTGCCTCCTGCTGCTGCTGCTGCTGCTGCTGCTGCAGTTCCCGTTGCTGCTGCAGTTGCCGCAGCAACGAAGGGAGCAGCCAGGGGGTCAGCTGCAGCAAGCGGCAGCGCTGCATGCGGCACAGCAGAGAAACGAGCAGCAAGACAAACAGCAACACGAGAAAATAAAACAGCAGATGTGCTGCTGCTGGGGCGCAGCAACACCCTCACCTGCCAGTGGTTGTGCAGAGCCACATCAGGGGAAAACAGAGAAGGGCTCATCAGCGTTTGTCTTGCTGCTGCTGCTGCTGCTGCTGCTGCTGCTGCTGCTGCTGCTGCTG